ACTGAACGGCTGGGCAGGTGGTGGGATCTTCTGGCGAGAGCTCTCCATCAGCATTAAGTTCAGGCTCCCGGACTTCTGCAGTGTACGCCAGGCGGAAGTGGCTGCGATCAAGGAGGTGGTAGATCCAGTGCTCCGGAGTGCTATGACCGTCAGGGAGGTGAGCATTTATTCTGATAGCCGCGCGGCTATCAGGGCTTTGAGCGAGTTGGAGGTGCGCTCTAACTTGTTTAAGGAATGCATGGTCTCTCTCTCGGTCGCGTCGGAATACTTCTGTATTAGGGTTATTTGGATTGCGGGTCACAGCGACATTGCGTGGCTAACGAATTGGTCAGAAAAAGCACTCGTGACACGTTATCGCAGGATAAAGAGCGGCTGGGGGTGCCATTGATCACCTGCGGTACATACTTGGATAGATAGGCCTCAATATCAGGACATGTGCGATCCCAAGGTACGTCTGATTGAGGGTGCGGAGAGGGCAGTCGAGAGCACTCCTCAAACTCACAAAGCCATAGCTCTCACTTTTTCTGGGGGCTTTAATGTGTCACTGTCCAATCGGTATCCGTGCGTGGCAGTTGCCAGGAAGATGACGAGGTGGAATCATCTCAACGCTACCTTCTTAGGTGGCCAGCGTTTGCGAGGCTAACGTTGAGGTACTTCAGCTCTCACATCCTTAAGAGCCCGGAGGAACTCTGGTGCTTTGTGATTTGCCGAATTTATAAATACATAAACGGCTCGGAAAGTTTTATCGTTTAAGTATTAGGAGCCGTTCAGAATGACAAAGAACAATCTCCGAATTGTCCAAGATAGCTCCAGTTGCACGGGGTTGCCACCTAACCCAACTCGAGGCATCAATAAATGTATCTATCAAATAGTGCAACATTTCTTTTAATTTTTTGAAGTGAGAAATCAGCTACTCCAATCGCGCGGTAATGTACGAATTTTCTTTTCATAACTTGCTACATATCTACTGACACCTGTGCGCGTGTTTATACTCTGCTCGTATACGTACAAACAGACTTACATACATACACACACACATTGTACTTAAGGAATGGAATACCATGCGGTTTTGGTTAATGTCCGCCTGGCTACGCATTGCGTATTTGTTCATGTCTTGCTTTTCTTTTATCCCACAAATATGTACAGACGTGCATGCAGACATGAACATACATAGAAATGCTGAAACATTTATTAATTGGCAAGAAAACACAGAAAATTAACGTTGAGCTTCTTTCGCAATGCAATCAAGTGATCGAAGTTTTTATGGCTATCCATGGCGGTTTGTCAATATTTGTTGCTAAATTCCAACTGATGATTAATTATAACCTGATCGGGTATGAGTTGTGCATCCGTGCCCTGTTCCCTGTAAGAAAATTATTTCTTTCATAGCCAAGTGGGTTTGGAAAGATAGTTCGGTTTGAGATAATAGGGGACCACTTTAATGCCCTGATGGCGGTTCCTTCAATTCGAAAGGTGCATATCGTAAATCATCTCTAATGTTTGAGCTTACAGTCTATAGCTTCTAGAGGACCATCTCCAGGCTGTCAAGGTTCCATAACAAAGAGATGGTCTAGGAAGAAGGAAACTGTGAGGGGTTTTTTTCTGGACTTATGACGCAGTTAACTCCGTGTGAGGTAGAACAGAAAACATGTCATATTATACAAGTAGACCTCTTCAAAAGGTCTCTAAGCGAAAGTTCACTAAGGGAAGACAAAGGGTATTTGTGGGACCGCTATTTGATTGTGTATTTTGTATTCTTTTTGTCCCATAAGCTTTCGATTTTTTTCCTCAGCAGAGTGGGAAGACTTTTGTTGAACTTTTATGCGGCAGCTGAGGCGTCAATTCCATTTACATACGTCGCCTATTTATCACTTCTTTGTTCATTGCAGCCTTTTTCCGGCCAGCTTACCATCCGATATTATATTTCTGCTCACTACACCCAGACTGAAAATGCCTTCTTTGGCTAAATATTTCAACAGACAGAGAAAAGTAAAATATTTGTCAAAATAAAGCCCGAAGAAGCTCTGTCACCCTTATTATTGTTTTTGGGAATATGTGTTATGAAATTCATATTTATATCTCACTCTGAAGACTCATGTTCAGGTACAAAGTCGGGATAAGCGAGGCTGCTATTGTCGAAATTTATGCCGTCGGAAATATCTCCACTATCTTTAAGCTAGAAAATAATATTTTCGTCACTAAGAGAGCTCTTACGAGATATTGTGAATTAAACCTAAAGATAAAATACTAAGGTCAGAAGGTAAAAATTATAGACAGAGAGCTCACCTTGAACCTAGATATAACATACATATCTGTACATACGCTGGTACACAGAAAAATTACGGATTGAGGATAGAACAGCTGCGTGTATTTATGTATCCGGCACTAGACTTTCTATTGCAATGGGTGTGCCAAGGTGCTAACAATCGCGACTTTTACGAAATTGAAGATTGGGTGAATTCCAAAACGTCACAATACAAAGCATCAGTGTCTTTTATTCCTAAATAGCACTTGGAGAAAAAGTCTAATTTGCGCAACCTAGTTGAAAACTAGCATCTAACCATGGTTGCGCACATTTGGAATTACAATCTTTTCCAACACTTGGCAACGGGAAATGCGGTGGCATTGTATTGGATACTAAATCATTGCGGAATCGAAAGAAATAAGATCTCCGACGAACTGGCGCGGTATGGCTCATCGTCTGTCCTTCTGAAACCAGAACTTCAGTATGTAAACACAAACAAAGGGCAGGTCTACTGCAATTCTCGAAACTGATTGTGGTAATGGATTTCTTTTTCAATACACTATAAAAACTCTTTCGCTTTGTAGCAATCAAGAGCCATTTAGAAAGCGTTGTTCGATATCGCTTGATTTCAGTTCATGAGGCATCCAGCCTCCGACTTTCAGGACCATGCCAATGGCTTTCAATCGCAATGAAATTTCTTGTTGTCGTGCCGCATTCACTAACCCACCAGTGACCGACGACGGCTCACAACATTCAAC